TGCCTTGCAATTTATTAATTGTGACCTTTTAAGGCAACATCAAAATGCAGAAGACTCAGCAGAAGAAGATACACCGAGTTCCAGCTCTTTGAATGTCCCACGTTTTCAGCGATACAGAGAAAATGTGTCAGGAGCTAGGGTCTCCAAGCCTTTGACGCGCTAAGAGACAGGATCATTCTTTCACCCAGCTCCACCTGCTGTCAAATCATTAGCACAACCTCTCCTGTCACAAAGATAAAAAGGGTCCAGAACTCTAAACTACCAGTTGCTTAATTAAGAGCATCAGTCATGCTTCAGTTAAACAAAGAGCCACTTCAAAGCCCATATTTGTTATACCCCCTACATTTGAAATATTATGACAATAACTCCTGTTATTTTGCTCCTTATCTGATTATTACATACATAAACCAATAATTTTCTCGGATCAGAAGTCTAATCTTCAGTGGGTATCTGCATGAAACAGCTATACATTTAGACTGTGTTTCCCTGTGGCGTCCATCCTTTATTAAGGAGTAAAAAATTAACATTGAAGATTAAAAGATATGCTTTACCTGTGCAGCCAAGTCCTCCACATGTGTGGCTGTCATTGGGTACTTAATGTGCACAGCAATGCCTTCTATTCCATAGAAGACTAATTGATTCATGCCAACTTTTCACTGTGGTGCGGTTAAGGAGATCTTAAGTGCAACAATAATGGGATTCACTTTGTAGCAACAAAGATTTTAAAAATGATTATTCATGATGTATCATCTGTCTTTCTTTGCAGTCAAGGGCTAGCGCTTTCAGACCCCAATCAGTACGGAAAAACACCTCTGTCTCATCACAGTGATTGATCGTCATAGGAAGCCACTGAACTTTCCACACATCCCACCGTCCAGTGACGAGCCCTTCAGCGGCTGGAGTGTGGTGGAGAGAACACCGGCACTCTCCTGAAGCAGGGAACCCAGAGTTGTAATTAAATCCCATATTCCGTGTGAAACTCTGGAGGAATTCCCTTCTGCCTGAGCCTTTCCTGTTAAAACAGGAGTCTGGATTCCCCTGGATGGGGTAGTGTGGCTTAAACACATTTACTCACAAACTGGAGAACGTTTCACCAAACAATGAAGATGTAAAGACACTTTACAGGATATTGCCTTATTGCTAGCATCCAAGTAATTAGATTTTGTATTTTATAATGGCAGTGTGAACAGATTGAGGCAGCGGGTAGGTCCTGTTGGAGACTATCATCCAGATAGTGGGCCCTTCATTCGTAATTTGGGGAATGGCATTAGAAGCAATTTTGTTACTGAATAACAAATACAAAGCATTGTTCAACTGCTGAAGCACAGATGTGTTAGATTTCATTATAAACCATTATTTTATATTGCACACAGGTGACAGAGACAACACGAAGGGTGTCTGGCTTGTAAGATGTGCGTGCCTCTGGTTTTACAATTGCTGAGTTAGGAAATCTCCTGTTCGGGGATACAAAGGTTCCTTCGCTGTCCTAAGTAGTGCCTGTTCGTTAAAAAAAAGATAAAGCTCCCAAGGGATTCTAATCAAATTAGAAAAAGGAAATGTTATTTGCATCAGGACAAATTCATGCATGAGTCTGAAGTCTGCTGCTTTTATCGGACTGCAGCCGTGTGAAAAATAAGTAGTTCCATGCCCTTGAATTGCGACCTCTCCTATTTATCTCTTCGCCTCGATTCGCATGAGGAGGCAACACCTAAACTTTATTCCCTCCAGTGCAGTTCCTATTATAACGATTCCCATGACTTCAGTAAATGGAACTTGGCTGTTTGTCCTTTCCACTGAAATAAAAATCTGATGTCTTAAATGTATCATTCGTACCCCAGAATGTTAAACTGTATTAAAAATAAAAATCTGGTACTAATAATGTAATATTGTGGTTGAAGTAAAAAAAAAAGTTGTTAAATGCATCGCCTGAAATTAATAATAAGCGCCGCTTGGGTTATTGAAAAAATAAACTTTATTAAATAATCATGATTTATGCCGTAGCGTAGCCAGCGCCTGTTGAATGAAATATTGTTATTTTTTTAAAAGCGTTGATATTCGGGGATTCTGTACGAGTAATACAAACAGGTACCACTTTATAGGCTCTTACAAAAAAAGTATGAAATTGTAATCACTAAGAACGCCGTTATTTTTGTTGTTAGGGTAATATTTATATATTTTGGCCTATTTAAGTTACTATAATTTGGTCTATTTGTTTAAATCCAGTGTGGATCGGAACAATACGTGCCAGTATTAGACGTTTGATACCTTGTTATTTAATATACATTGAGTCAGGATCCTGTCCTGCAGTGTGAGGGCACAGATCGTAAACACTGCTTTCCAAAGATATCCAAAGCCAGATACATGAGATATATTCCTGATCTGAAAATCCAGTCGCCTCAGAAAGGTTGGCCTTGCGATTTCTGACGACCTGAAGTCGCACATCAAATACGTGATCTTTAATATTATTATTCAAACTTTGATTACCGTATAATCTAATTATTCCTCACACAAGTCAACACGTGCTCTATAGTTTTGGACTGCCAATGTCCTGATAATAGTTCTACGCAGTGACCCAGCTCACATTATTTGATAAATTGAGTGTTATCGTAAAGAGGATGTGTTTTTTAATTTGGTTGGATTTAATTCTCAAAACATAATACAAATCTGTAGTGGCGGTTTGTTTCGTCTTGTTGCTATTTCTGTCCTGATGCTGAATTCCAAGATAAAACTCAACACATCTGTTAACTGACCGCTTGATTACAACGATTTGGTTTACGGATGTGGAGTTACAATAAAGTAGGTGAGATACCGGAGAAAGTCACGGAAGTCCTGACTTGGCAACGTCGCAGATGACAATTCGAAAACTAGCTGCGATTAAGTGTGAGTAGTTACCTAAATTTTAAAAAAATAGGGAAAAAAGAAGTCAAAATGTGGTATTGTCTAGAGCGTTTTATGAAAAAAACCCGAAATGCGATCCCTAGCTGTTAACACCTGCGCGGTGACGTGTCAAGGGAGTCGAAGCAGAAAGGTCAGAAACGCTTAGAAAAGGTGACCCGTAACATTGTAACAAAGGCTGTCTTAATATCTGTTAATTAAGACTGAAGTCGCTTTCTTAAAAGACTGGGTCGAATCTCACTTCACCGCGACGGCGAGCTGGACTTGGAATGTTCTGTCAATCACAGCTTTTGGCTGCTGCTTAAGAAACACGCGTGGGTAAGAACGGCGGGCTGTCATCTGTCATGTTAACTAGGTATTCCAGGTTTCCCAATGGCAAAGTTATGACTGCACCGCTCTTCGGTGTCACTCTCTTACTACGTTTTAAAAGAGCTATCACAATATGCAAAGAAGGAGTAACGACATGCCCCTTAGTTGTATAGTTATTTACCCGGACTGATTTTCACCTTACCGGGGTTTTTACAAACTAAGCATGTTCAGTTGCGCTTTTAGACAGCAACACAGTACAAAGCACCACATAAAGCAAAGCGCACGGACAATTCATTTCCAAACAAAACAAACGACTCAAGAGAAAACGTGATTCTCAACCTTTACATGTAGACATATCGTTTTAAAGATAATCGATATAGTTTATATTTTCACCCTTCATTGGCTGAAAAGGGACTGGTCTAATCGCCTCTTAAAAGTAATTAATGTAAAGGACCGCCGATAATTAGTGACGGTCCGGTTGCTTTAAACCCTTTAGTTTGGCACGTTTCTGAACGGTGTGGCCTAATTTCTGGGATTTTTTTTAAAGTTCGTGCTGATTAGGGACTTTGCCCCAGCTATTCGCCCCAGAGTATTTACTGTAAATGTTTCAGACATCTTTGAAGACACGCACAGCTGTTTGTCACTTCAGGTTATGGGTTGATACAGAGTGGCACCGCAGACTGGGTCAGCTGGAGCTACCGCAGCACAGAGAATTCGTAAACACTGAGGGTTTAAGAGCCTCGAGTTCCGACACTTCAAGAGCCTAGCTACATGGCACAGGGGAAGACATCATTGTATCGTGGTATGCATGTGTATGTGAGTATGATTAGATAATACCAACGTTTCCCTAGAGGAGAACTTCTAGAACAGGTTGAAATATATTTTCAAATCGAGATCACTTTAAGAATTCATTTAAATTAATTTCACTGAACCCGAGCCGTGTTTAAACGATATCGAGGTTCTGTCTTTTTCACACGTACACGTACGAGTCGTTTTAGTTCGTGTCTTTACACGCGATTCGTTTTTCGGGTGAGATCATTAATTCAAGTCAAAGGTGAATTTATCTTCGAAGGCTTCTATGTAATTTTGACAGAGATAGATTTAAGACGGGAAATATAAAATGTGAAAATGGAGTACGCCACACTTGTTAAGAGTGGGGGAGGTGTTCGAATGACATTTGGACAAATAGAAAGGTAGTTTTACGATGTCTGCTCGCTGTAACTAAGGAAATGTACTGCAACGACAGCATCAGAATGTATCGGGAGCCTGAAGGCTTTGTACCAGTTGCAGGTCAAACCCAGGCCCAGAGCTCTCTCTCCCCTAAAAGCAATGTAACACGTTCAGTGGTTCACCCCCGATTTATAATATATTGCATTTCATAATAAAATAAATGAAAAACAGAATTTTAGAACGATACAGGCATATTCTTTACGAATCTAACCACTACACCCTCTTGTCTTCCAAAATGTAGTTTGAGTCCAGATTTAAAAAAAACTCCTCGGCTGTCACGAAGCTCTTAATATTACTTCGAGCACATCTGTCATTTTTTAAAATGCCCAGAAAACTACTAACTGCTCGCCGACAGCACAGCTAAGTCAGAAACATTGCAGAGCCACGTTTAAAACGGTATGATCCTCACTTCATTCACCAGTAAATGCAATTAATCGCCTTGAATTGCCGTTCGTTGTTATGAAAAGGTAGTTTGTTTTAAAAAAAAACTTTACTAATAAACATCGATGAACGGGGAAGCGATAGTATTTGAATCCTTAAGAATATGGACATTTTATTTAAAAAAAACGTTTGGAAGAGATATTTAATGCCGTGAGACCGCATTTAAAATCCTCTTTTCAAATGTAAAACTTTATTATTTAGCGTTGAAAGTTTAGCATAAGCAGGAGCTTTACAAGTCATGAAGGCGAGAGAAATAACTTGCCCAATAAACAGACACCTGGAAGGCGGCTGAAAATCTTTTCAGAATAATGAAAAAGAGGCGTAGAATTAAATCGGTATAATAAAGCGAACACCGTTTTCGAAACCGATACCAGTCTCCAAGGAAAACAAACAAACAAAAAAACGAACCAATTGTTTCCGATACGCTTTTACCTGAGTTTTTTTTTTAAACAGTTATTGTCAGAAATTAGCAGTTGTGCGCTTCGCTCAGCTGCTGCAGGCGTTTATTGGTCAGGGGGCCGCCGCTGTGTAGCGGGTGCAGTTTCTGGTACTCGTGCTGGAGGCTGAAAAGATGCGGGGAGGCCGAGGGGTGGTGGAGCACCGCGCTGGAAAGGAACGCGGGACCCTGGGTGTCGCCCACCAGCGCGGAGGAGAGAGCGGGGCAGTGGGCGGTCACCCCGCCCGTCAGGGTCTCGAAGGGGAACGGGGGCACCCCGAGCGAGGAGTCCGGTTTGAGGGCCTGGGCAGGGGAGAGAAAGGCCTTGCCCCCCGCCGCGGCGGACGTCCTGGAGAACAGGGTGGAGAGCGCGGGGAGGATGCTGCCGGCCGGGGGGAGGCCGCCGGCCCCGCAGGGCGCAGGCGGGTGGAATCCCACGGGGTACAGGTCCAAGCTCGGCAGCTGGAGGCAGGCGGCCCCGAGCCCGTACGTCCCGTAGGTGAAGCTGGGCAGCGAGCCCGCGTCGCGCTGCTCCTTCAGCAAGCCGAACCTGAAGTGCTGCCGCTTGAAGCGCTTCCGGCGCCGCAGAAAGCTGCCGTTCTCGAACATGTCCGAGGAGTTGGGGTCCAGGGTCCAGTAGTTGCCCTTTCCCGGGTTGCCGGGCTCCCTGGGCATTTTGACGAAGCAGTCGTTCAGGGACAGGTTGTGCCGGATGGAGTTCTGCCACGCCGGGAACTTCTCCTTGTAGTAGGCGAAGCGGCTGCTGATGAAGTCGCAGATCTCGCTCAGGGTGAGCCGCTTCTTGGGGCTCTGCAGGATGGCCATGGTGATCAAGGCGATGTACGAGTAAGGCGGCTTCACCAGGGCGCTGCTCTTGACCGCGGCGGGGCTGCTGGAGGTAGCCGCTGGCAGCTCTAAGTCTCTCTCGCCGCCCGGGCATTTTTGAGACCCAACCCCAGCGCCCCGCTCCCCCTGGAAGCCGCTGGCTGCTCCCTCCACCAAAGGTGGGCAGAGCTGGGGTCTCCTCGCTTCCCTGCTGCCGTCTCCGACCACATCAATGTCGGGCTCCGCCGTGGGATCCGACGCCGAGTCTGCGTCCAGGGTCATCATCCAAACCGCGAAACAAATACCACCTGTGCCAACAGGCGGGAGAGACATTCAGTGAAGATAAAGACAGAAGGGAGAAAAAAAACGGGGTGAAAAAATAAATTCTTACAAGTAGCCGACCGTCTTGAAGTTTGAATTCCCCCTAAATAGCGTAGCTGGTCAAGTGTACAAACACACACCCCCTCCCCTCCCCGCCAAGACGGTCATTAAGAAAATATGCGCAACATCTTTAAAAAGAGAAACCACCTTTGTCTCTCCGAACCCCGACCAAAAAAAAAAGGCTCCCGTGTATTTTCAAAGGCTTCACAACGAACCAAATACTTCTACATTGAAGGAAAAGAGATGTATCGAACCTTTCAAGGAGTCTACATCATCCCTCTTCTCCACTGATCGAAAAAACTTTTTTTTCTTTTTCTTGTAATTGTAACTGTGCTGGGGTCAGGTGACCGTGATGTCATCGCGGAATTGTGAAGTTGTTGGGATCTCAGGCGCTTCTCCAATGGAATCCACGTAACAGATCCCACTGTAGACCGAGTCTCCTCCTGCCAACCGTAGGAGCACCACCTGTCTGAAAGGCACACACCTTGTACTGGTACTGAAATACTGCTAAGAGCTTTAGTCTGCGTCCCTGGTAACATAGGCTGCGCTGCCTTATCTTAAGAAATCCTTTTAAAGAAAAAGCAGTTTGCTCGCGGAGCCTATGCAAAGGCTGGACGTTTACTAAGAAAAACTCCCTCATAAATTTCTAGTGTTTATTGGCCACGGTTTCATTGTCGCCGAAAAAAAACATCGATCTAATAACAGTGCTAAATTCTTTGCATTCGTGTCTCATTCATTCGTGAAAAAATTCCGGTTTTTACTTAAAAAAAAGTATTGCAGTAGCACTTTGACATGCTCAGTTGCTTTGACATGCTTGTTAATGCAAAAAAATTAACAAGAATCTTCTGTTCCACACGTTTGAATTGAAAATATGCATTTAGGAGACGTGCACTTCTGACATATTGAAATTTTATTCAATTTTAATCAAGATTATTTCAATGAACAAATTAGGAAGTACATCAAAACTCAACTTTCTCCTACTCACTTATATATAATATTTATGCTACTATTTATATTTTGTCCATTTTTTATAATTAAATGAAATCCCGGTAATCAATCCTGAAAACCCAGATGACTATTTTGAAATCACTGTCATGATTTGCTAGGAAAATCAGTCCACAGTGACACTAATTTTCCATTTTATCGCTTTACACATAACGGAAATGTATGGTTTTCATTCAACACAAAAATAGCAATAAATCCAAAAAGACCATCTGAAAGTAAAGCAAGAATGAGCAATCTAGAAAGACAGTTTTGATTCGTTGTTGAATAAACTCATATCAGATATTCCCGTGTTGGTGGAAAAGAATGTTCTGCGCATTAATACGTTTTGAAAACAAAATCCAAAAATGTTTTTGAACAATAGCTGTAGAAACCAACGAAAGCTTCACATAAATCAGCCATTAATTAATTAATGTTCGAAAGCCCAGCTGCGTTTTTTGAACTGGAACACAAATGTTATCCCTATGATCTGCTCAGGTAAATAATTTAAACATTTGACAACAGAAGCTGTTTAATTACTTTGATTATCTTTTAAAAAAAGTGGTTTTCAACAATATGTTTACTGGTCTCACTGTTAAAAAAAGAAGTTCTGGATGTCGTCTTCTCTCGAGTCTCTCCAGATATTTCAAATTAATCAGGGGAAAATTGGCTCGGGTCGCACTGACGCAACCAGGGTTTAAAATCCAGGCGAGATGAGGAAAACCGACATTAAATTAAATAATTTCTCATGACTTCATTATTGCCAAATTAATATGACAGATTATTTCCTTTTGTATTATGCACACATATCTTTTATTGCTTTTCTATTAAATATATCCTGAAATGGACTGCAACATATTTATAATACGCCAAGGTGCTTGGAGAAACGAGTGATATACAAAAGATGCAGTTTTTAAAATTCTTTTACACGCTCGAGATGGGGTGTTTTATTGTCGTTTTATCCGCAATATTTTTTTTAAACCCCGTGCTTACAGTAATTTAACACAAATTCGGTGTTTACGCCTGTAAATTACAGTGTAACCTGTACCTAATCAATTACATTTTAATTACCATTTTAAGGCAAGATTTTAGGAGTGCTCAGAAAGGGTGTTATCCTGTTAAATTTGGTGTAAACCTGCTGAAGGCTACTGACACCAGGGGCAACTCGCATCGCTCGGTGCGCATGTTTCTTCGTGATCGCGTTGCTTAAGAAAGAGCCCACCCGGGTTTGACTCTAACCTCAATCATTATAAACACATAGAAACGAACCGGAACAATTTTAATCAGGCCAATAACATGGAGTTACAGGGTAATGAGATAGGGATTAGGAGAGGCAACAGTGATGCTCAATGAGAATTTAATTCACTCCAGATTTGTGGTAATTATCGTGCACATCTTTTAATATTTAGGCACACAAAAAACTAACGACCCAAATTTCCATACCTGTCATTTAAAATCTTCTCGTTTTCCGTTTAATTTCCCCTTTATCTTAATGCGAAACATTCTGCCTGCGGGTCTAGAGGCGCAGTTTATAAAATACTAAACGAGCATGCACAGTTTGGAAAAGACAACTTGGAGTTATTTTCTTGAAACCTTTCAAACAAGGTTTTTCTTTTGTGTGCCCCCCCCCTCTGGAAAGAAGCCTCAGAAGGGAAAAAAATAGACTGGAAGGACTAAGGGATGCGATTCCACTACTTCGGACTAAGGCTTTTGTCATGGTGCGCCAGGACATAACCTGTAAACTACGTGTAGCCGAGTCCTTGGCAAAGTGGAGTCTCCGGCTCTCTCTGCCTCTGAACACTAGGGCATTTCACTCAAGGGGGAGAATCCCCGGGCTAAACCGAGCTATCCTCGCTCGGGCAGAGTAAAGGCAGAAAGAGCAGACGTTGCAAAAGCAGGGAGTGAGCCAGGGGAATGGGGGGTGGTGGTAATATTATACTCACAGGTCAGTCGTATTTTTTTAATTGTACTGATAGCCATCTGACATAGGGAGTTTACATGTTCAAAATATGGGTGGGTATATTTTTTCATGAAAAGCGCTATAGATTTGAACTGCAGAAAGATTATATTTGTTTTTTGGGAGAATTGAAAGACCAGATATAGAATCGATTACATCTGTTGGGATATTTCTCTGGATGAATAAACAAACTACGTTAAAAATCAGTATTTAATACTTCAGTTTTATGGAACTGTGCATGACGCAGACGGGCGGGTAGCTGATTTGAGTGTGATTTTTTTCAGCCCATTTTGTGTTTTAATTCAGCTCAGGTTTGCGTTTATCTTATTTGTAAGGAAATACCTTTAGGAATCACTCCTCATACTTCAGAAGGGTCCCGCTTTTGAAACAGTAAAAGCCTCCAACCTTAAAAAACAAACCTCAAAAACATTCCACTTAAGTGGAAACGAAAAGTTGGAAAGGCAAACGGAGTGGTATAAATTGCCAGCGCACAAAGAAATATTTTAACGCGAATTGAACTAATCAGAAATATCAAGAACTGCTGCTATCGAAATGTACCACAGTCAGTTTAATTAAGACAGCGGTTTTATTGGATAAACTGTCCAACAGAAGAGCTGTGCCATTTTTAAATACCTGCTGTTTATTTACAGGGACCTAGAGGGAGTCCTGTTTTCTTTTCTCGAAGCTCATCTTTCCCCTCATTATCCAGACATGTTTGCTGGGCAGACGCGCTCTTCCAGATGTGTGCGAGAAGGACGGTTCATTAGAAAATGAGGGCCCGGGCTGTTTGTATTAAACGACGCAGCTCCTCGCGGGGATTCCTCGCTTCCTGGCTGCAATCGGGCTGAACCCCCAGAGAGCGGAGGGAGATAAAGGGGTACACTGGGTGGCCCTGGCCCCGGCTGCCAGCGGCGAATGTCACAAATTCATAGCGCATGTCTCCCTTGATCGGAAACAGCCCCCGCAACGGACGGAAAAAAAGAAGAATGGTTTCAATATTAAAACGGATAAAGCCGGGCCATTATTACAAAATATCAATAATTATTATCTGTCAGAACTGCTAAAATATTAGATAGTAAAAATATCAACAAGAATAATAATATACAAGAAAAGGTCTTGTTGTTCCCTGACAAATATAAATATTTTTACACGTTTATCTAAACATACAAAAAGTGCGACAGCCAAGATGTAGCTGGAGAATTTTCGAACGCTTAATCTGAAAAAATATACAGAACCGAAAAATTATAAACACCAAAGTTTCCCTCAGGCATTTCGAGGAGACACGAAGAAAGTGTTTTCTCTTGAACCAGCCTCTCAGCTTCCATGTAGCGATATTTCGTGGTTTGCAGTCGCTCGCTGAACATCCCGTCATCTTACTGTTTTTCACCAGGCACGGTTGACATGCCAAGCTAAATTCTAAAACGAAAATGTTCTCATCCCAATTTGAAATAGAAGATACGCAAATTGGTGTAAAAGCTATTTTGTTTAATCTCTCTGTTTCATGAAAAGATTGCGTGCGTTTCCCACAGTGAAAACTTGATTAATTTTTTTTTGGCCAAATTACATGTATCGGGCTGTATGGTTTAAAACGGTCTTTTATGAAAATAACCTATAATTAACACGTTCTTCCTCCTTATCCTAGCAGCAAACAGCGATTTTATGAATGTATTAATTACCCTGAGCCTTTACAAAGGGGGCACCGGAATATTAAATATTAAGATGTGCCGATATATTAAATATCACGTTTACCTCTTTACCTACAGGTATGTACTGTACTGCTATCCGAAGAACAAGCTCGCTTCAGCTGATGACTGAAAAGCATTTTAGTGGACAAAAATGACAGGAAGTGTTAAGGAACAATGGAAATCGGGTCGCGCCGAGTGAAAGAAGAGCACTCTCCTTTAATTACAATGAAATGTTCCTGTTCGGGACACCCAAAGCTTCGCCCTGCGTGTATGATGTATCTGCTGAATCTACAAAGTGTTCTGAGATATGTTGCAGGTTTAGGCCTCCTGGGTTAAATTAGACCCTAGTTTCATCAGTTTCTAACAGCTGCTTTTCACAGGAATTATCGCTATGTGACTTGTACGTATATCAATGATTGCATGTCTTTTCAGTATCGATACCATAAAGTGAGGTTGCGCCGGGTCCAAAACACTTTATGGCTGATTCTGCACGCATTTATCTTGTTGTTTTTTTTTTAAATTGAAAATATTTTTGGATCTGGAATAACCACGGGCCCGTGTTTAAGAGTTCAGAAAATAAACATAAATTGTTTCCAATATTTTTTGCCATGTTTCCTCAACACATTTGTCGTTGTCCCATATTTCTGCTCATGATCTGGAAAACAAACAAAATCTTCATCCCTACGGGAGACTCTTATGACACCACCCGGCGAGAATATGTATTACAACAATGTTTTTTTGCTTTCTCCTGCGGTGGGAACGAATACGTTAAGCGTTGCTTGTTTCCGTCTATTAGGACGGAAACATTAGAGTTGTACCAGGAAATGTTGGCGGAGGGGTTATACTTAACATGGCGGCGCCCGTGGAGTAGTATGGGAAGGAGATCGGTCATTCACTTAAACATTTATATTTAATTCTAGTTTCATTGAAGACGTTGAATTTTTAGTACCTGAAGCAGCGTCGTGATAGTACAATGTATTTTAGATATTATAATAGACATCAGAAAAACTTTACTGTATAATATTTCTGAATAGGTTCCGTTACGTGCTTTGCGAAGGTATGTGCTGCGTTGCAGTTTATCAATAAGATGTCGATTAAACGATTGCTAACTGTTAAACATGAAACCCGACCCCTGACAGATAACTGCATGATTAGAAGACATATGCTATCCCGATTGGTAAATTTGTCATAAATATACATTGAATCGGGTATCCATAGTCCTAGTTATTGGGTAAAAGCCAGCGACACAATCGCATTTCTGATTCCATGGAATAACAGCGGAACGTTTAGGTCAGAGCCTCGCTAGCGCATATTATGGGGTGGAGATTAAGCATTAAAAACAGTGCCGCTGATAAGTCACTATTTCTGTTAGTAGTAGAAGAAAAAAATACCGACAATCTTAAATGCATACTGGTGGCGATGACCCTTTCATGTAATTTAATAGTGACAAACTGCATTGATCGGAGCGATCTACTCGTCAAGAACTGACCGAAGCCTCTTTGTTGTGCTCTCAGACCCTAGCTCGTCTCTACCACGCGTCCACCATGAGCTGCACACGCTGTCTGCCGCGGCTGCTGCTGGCCTGCGCCAGGGCGACTGCTCTGAGCGCGGCTCCGCAGGGAGCCTTCCTGAGGAGACAGGCAAGGCTCACGCAGGTGAGTGGGCTTTGCTTACAGCCTGTCCTGTATCCCCTGGTGAAAGCGGCTGATCTTTGCGAGAGCAAAATCCCCTCGGGGAGTGAAGCTGCTCACTACAGAAAGACACGCTGGCGGGTGTTCAGCTCGGACGTCTGTCCCGTCATGGGGCGAGTTGTCCTTTTTTTTCCACATCACTACGGTCTCTTTCGCTGCAGGGACTGAGGAACGTCCACGCCAGCAGCAGAAGGACGGAGAACAAACCCACAGCTGCCGCGCACCAAGGAGGGCAAGGAGATGGAAAATCGGAGGATGGGCCGGGTCAGTCCTTGGTCACCCACGAGCACCTGTTCGAGCGGGCGGCTCGGGACTCGAGGACCAAAGCCACGTTCAACCGCGTGCTGGACGTCTTTGTGAAGAGGGACATCCGCCGGCGAGGCCACGTGGAGTTCATCTATGCCGCCCTGAAGAAGATGCCCGAGTTCGGAGTGGAGCGAGACCTCTCCGTTTACAACAGGCTGCTGGACATTTTCCCCAAGGAGGTGTTCGTGCCTCGCAACTTCATCCAGCGCATGTTCAACCACTACCCACGGCAGCAGGAGTGCGCCATTCAGATTCTGGAAGAGATGGAGAACCATGGTATGTTCTCAGCGCCGGAAGAGGGGCAAGTAATCACCCCAGTGCACCGTTTCCTTCCTGGACAGACCGAACTCACGCCGCCAAAAATGTGACGTTCAGGGCTCTTTGAAGTTAGTTCACTTACATATTGTCCAAAATTGTATTTCAAGCTTCAGTACTCAGAGGCAGTGCCTCCAGCACACACATGCAAACCCAGAGCAAGTCTGAGGGAGATGTCAGAATTTAGGGACCTCGGTGTATAAAATAATCTGTTCATACTGCTTTATCAGTTCCAATCAGGGTATTTAAACTGAAAACACACCTAAAAATACCAGAATCTATGGTGTGTCTTGCCACACAGCTATGTTAAATTAATTCAGATCTATAAAGCGATGCTCCATTGCATCGCCTGTGAGTTAATTTTTTTTAGTTTGGAATAACTAGTAATATTTTAATTATATGCCCAATTTACAAACACTAGTTGTTTAAGATTTTTCAATTCCTGTACTGCACATGCAGAATGAGGGCCCTTGAATTCACAACCTCTTGAAGCCAATGAAGCTGTTTCTTGAAAGAAGCCAGGGTGAGATCCTCCGGTCAGGACTGGTTGCAATACGCAAAGGGTTGTGCGAACGTGGAATAAGCTGCCCATCCATGCCGTTGAAGCTGATACCCCAGCTTGTTTCAAGAAACAGCTGGAGGAGATTATCTGATCAGTTAGCAGCTAGGAACCAAATGAGCTAGACAGGAGACAAACAAGAGAAAGACGTTCATCCTGTGGTATGTTCTTATAAAGAGGGAGTTAGTGCCATCTGGTGGAGAGGTGTTGTTGATGTCCCTGCTGCTCTCATGAATCTCTGTTTCTCCCTGGCCAGCCTGCTCTGCCCTAGAGGTGCTTCCACGAGCAGCCTCTGTGTCTTTTTTTTAAGCTGGAGTGTTGTTTTATTTGCAGGAATCATGCCCAACATAGAAACCAAAGTACTCCTAGTCCAGATTTTCGGGGAGAAGAGCCACCCCATGCGCAAGTACCAGCGACTGCTGTACTGGTTCCCTAAATTCAAGCACGTGAACCCCTACCCTGTCCCCCATGAGCTCCCGCAGGACCCCCTGGACCTTGCTCGGCTCAGCCTGAAGCGGATCGCCAACAGCCTGGATGCCAAGGTCACCGTCTACCAGGTACCAATAGCACCGCCACCAAGCAGCAGAGTGCATTTCAAAGCTCCAGGGAAGCCTGCTTTTAATTTGCAACAAAAGCTATATTTTACAGGCCCATGCAATGCTCACTACATTTCTCTCATCTCTTTGTAGATGCCCTCAACAGACATCTCAGAAATGGGAGAGCAGGTGTCTGAGCCCTTTGTCGTAGGTATACTGGGTTTCGCTACTTGGAGATTCCCTGTTGTGTGAGAGGTCACACAAAAAGCGGTGCGTCACTGAAGTGATGCTTTTGGGTTTTGTCTCTATAGTCTCTCTGACGCTTTCCGAGTACTCTAGACTGGAAATCCTCCAGTAACTTAGACTATTACCTGGTACTGTATTTATGCCAAATAGCAGAAACGAAAAGAGGACACACGTGGTGTGAAGGACACAGGCAATAAATCATTATTAACAAAGTCTGCAAACACTTGCAGTAGAAAACTGTATCTAACACTGTCTTACTCTCTGGAAAGGAATTCAGAGCCCCGAACAGCGCCTCCTCTTGGCCGAGCACAACCCCAGCCGACCAGTGTTTGTGGAAGGACCCTTCCCCCTGTGGTTAAGAAAGACGTGCGTCTATTACTACATTCTTCGGGCTGATCCTGTCCCACCAGAAGAGAAGGTGAGGAAGGTTTCAATGTAAGATCAGGCAGATTCTAAAAAAGACACCACAGCTCTGGATAAAGACCTGACAAGTTAGTGACATCTGTGTAAAGATGGAGAAATATGATCAGCACAGAGCTTGAGTTCTGAAACTGAAACCTAGGAACACTGAAAAATAAATTTGCCTTCATTATTCTCACTCGGTGGAATATAATGTGTATAACAAGGAGATAAGAACAAGTGACACACCACCCTACCACAATCCTGAAGAACAAATGAAAAGCTACAAATGATGGGGGCCTTAGGGATCTAAAAATTCCATCTGTTCATTTTGTAATGGATCTTATGTAGACAGCTCCTCCCACAGGGCTGGGGAGGCAGAGTAATTTCTACTCATGTCCCCGTGTCTTTGGTTTGCTGCTTATCCCTGCCTTGAAGCACATTTTGTGCATCGCACGGCACACACTCGTGGTTTTACAGAAACCTTTCTAGGGCTCGCTTGTGCTGTATCGAACGTGTGCGTTGTGTGCTTCCTGCCAGGTCGAGAAGCCCATTGACTTGGAACGGAGCTTTTTTTACCCACTGCATCTGGACCTGGACTTGGAACGGGACCTGGGCGATGATGACAGCTTTGACGTGGATGAAGGTAAATGGCCCCATGACGAAAACAACCATACCTTCTCCCTCCCTCCACCCCAAGATCTGACATCAGGTCATTAATCTCTCTAAGCATAACATCAGAGAAAGTCAGAGCAGTCTAAGTCAGATGCACATTTAAACAGAGTAGACAGGGTAGGTAGTTCTCATATCTGAGCTACATCGATTCACTGGACCAGAACTTATCCTGATTTCCTCGGTGTTGAAAGGACAAGAGAGCAACTGAGCACCACCCATCCCAAAGCAACCCGACACCTAGTTGCCTCCCAATTATGCAGCTGGAGGCACAACAGCATGGCCTCGAACCCACAACCAGACTTATGACTGCTCTACCCTTGAAATAAAGTGGAGAAAGTGATAATGCAGTGCCTCTTAATTGTATTTGGGAGAGAAAAAAAGATGTGCTTGTATATACTGTCTAGCTGCCCTGCAAGTCCAGTACTCCCATAGTAGCATTGTGACTGTGGCATTCCACAAGCACTATTCTGTTCACAGCTGCTTCCCAGCTGCTGTATTCCAGCTTGCATTTACTTCAGCAGATTTCTTGGTATAAAGCCACCTGACATTCCGAAACAGTGCAGCAGTATTCCAGCAGCATCCTGGTCCTGGGGACCCTCACACCTGCTGGATTTCATTGCACGTGAGCTAAAGTGAATCTTTCATTGACCCACCAAGCTGCTTGGTTAGAAACCTTTGCAAGATGCAACCTACTCAGAGGTTGGACATTTTAAGAAGTGTAGTACTTAAGAGTACTTAAGAGACGACCTACTTCTTACTACTGTAGGTTTAAAAACTGATATTGTTTAAAGAACTCCCATCAAACCCATTTTTAAGGTCTGTTAAGAGTTCAGTTTTTAATTGAGTGTTCATATTGAGCAGGAAACAGCAGAAGTGTGAGGCTTCACCACCTGTATTGGGAACACAGCTGTAGTAATACAACAGAAGTATTCTAGAAACAAATGTTTCCTGTCTGGTCTCCCATGAGGGTATATTGGTGACCCAGTTGGATGGGCACCAGGTTAGCTAATGTGTTGTGTGTTGGCAGTGGAGGAAGGAACTGTGTTTGCCATGTGTATGACCGGCTTGGGGGACCAGGCCACCCTGGCCAAGTGGATCACCGGCCTCCAGGAGACCAACCCCATCTTGGGCAGAATCCCCACTGTCTTTCGGCTGGAGTCTGGACCCAGGGAGATCCAAAGCACCAGCGAACCTGAGCCTACTGCAGAGGAGGAGCACCTGCAGAGCCAGGAAATGAAGCAATAAGCTATCTCAGAGGTTCGAAATGCAAGAGAAACCGGTGCTTGTTTCCAGCATGTTTGCTGGAAGTGTGCAGGATCAGTACAAACTTTTCTGGAAAGACGACAAAATAACCTTTCTCTGACTAAATTTTTCTGGATTATAACCTGGAAATTTAATGTTTTATTTAATGTAAATGGTGAATAAAATATTTTATGTTGCAGAATCACTCCATTTAATTCAGAAAGAGGATTCACATCTCCACATGATTAAACAGTAGATTTAAAAAAATAAATATCCCAAAATCTTATGGTAAATGTGAAACAGTGGCCAACAGTTACAATATTTTTAAAATAAAAATATCTTGTAATATTGCAAATGATTTTTCCTGTATATCTACACGGTCACATTTTTCAGTACTTTAAACGATATCCCATTGACTTCAAGTGAAGACCTTGCTCCTGTATGTTTTTGCTCTGTAATGCACAAGCAATATGGAACTATGGGGCTCAAGTAGTCAGAGCCTAAGCACTCATGGTAGCCAGGGTCTGGAGTTCCATCCCCTCGTGGTCTTAATGAGGGTGAGAAACAAGGAGGCTGCCTCACTCTCTGGCTGTGCCCCTCTCTCCAGTACAGATTGCAGTGCTATATGCGAGAAATGGGAAATGAAGATGCATACTTCTTGCACTAGTATCTCTTTATGCTGTAGTAAGCCCTGTCTACCCATGCTTAGAGAAGATACCTCAGACTTGTGATTGAACTGTTGTTCTTAAAGAAAACCCAAACAAACCAGAGAAAGAGTATGCAAACTCCATGCACACTGGCACCCGAGTCTGGATTTGAACCTGGGGCTGTCTAGCTGCCCTGCAGCAGTGCCTATCTCCATTCCACCTTATCTTCCTCCCTACACCATTTTTGAAAAGTTACCCTGTGAGTTTTCTTTGTGCTTAAATACTGTAAACAAGTTTTAAAAAGTGCTGCTTAGACTGAGCAAGCTGGTTTTAGTGATATTTTAATCATGTTTATCGAAATAAGATCAGTACAGATCTGAACAAAACATGTTCATAGCATTCAGTCGTAGAAATGAATAGTTGACTGTCAAAGCAACAACTAGGAAATAAATTGCAGCAACAACAAAACTCTTTATGAACAACTCTTACACAGTCCTGTATTTGCTACAGTTACAAAATGTATTTCTCATTTGTCAATATTTTAACAATGTCTTGTGTTGATTTTCAAAGAAGTGTTTTTTTCATGCCAATGTAAATATAAGTGAAACGATTTTAAAATCAATTCCACTGTTCTTGAGAATTTTGGACCACACTGATCTTTGAAACCTTGTCTATGCATTAACCCAAATGCAAATACAAAGTACACACTGTAGAACTAACTTGTAGCACAGTCAAATGGGTTTTGTCCCACCAAACAAATGAAATAATTCTTCTGAAACTGAAATGAAATGGACTCAACATTTTGGAAAGTAAAAGATTTCTTTTGTGTGACAGTTTAAGCTACATCAGGCCTCACAGACTTCAGGCGTTTGTGCTAATCACACTTCTCAAACAAGACAAAAACACAATACATCTTAAACATGGGGTTTTACACACACTGGCATGAGCATATTTAAGAAAACTGTTCTGTAAGACTGAAAACAGGCCAAACTGCCTTACAATGGGAGTTCCATGTCCCCTGTGTAATGTTGGTGTAGATCTACTGAAGGCATTTATTTTGAACTGAGCAGTTAGCTAAAACCTACTGTGCAACAAGACTAAAGACAAGGGAGGAAATTATGAAAATAAAATAATAAAAAATAAAGTATGAAAAAAAATCCTCTGGGAGCCTGATTTGTTAGACTCCAGGATTAACAATTATTCATTGAAATTGCTAGTTTAATATTGCTAGCTCAGTCACTTTGGGGTGGTAAGAAACATTGTAAGATCCAAAAGCCTGTGGTCATTCAGGGCTGAGAAAGAAAGATAAAGCCTTACAGTTGCAATGATGCTGAAGCAGAGTTCTCTACCAGCTTGAGTTTTTCCGATAAGCCGCCACTCGCAATGCGTTTCCACACCTGAAGCACCTGGAGTTGGAGTTCCCCTCTTTCTTGGGAATGTGCCAGCAGTGAAAGCACCTGATCCGATACTTTTTATACCTGTAAATACGTAAAACAGAAGGAAAGAGCACTTTAATGGAGAAATCAGAGACTGTGTTTTCACCTCACCTGCAAAATGCTTTCTGTTGACTTTTTCATGTTTCACACAATCCAACACAAACTTCCTGGAGGGAACACACTCACACCAGGGCCAATTTTCCAGGAGGGATAATAATCTACCAGTATCTCCACATTGGACTGTGGGTGGAAAGCAGAGCACCTGAAGGAAACCCAAGTGAACACAGGCAGCACCCCAGGTCCACTGCACCATCACACTGCCCTCATGGTGAACTTTTTATAGCAATTCTCCATGTGGAGTTTTAAAATAATGGTTTACTGTAGTGCCAGAAAGCCACACTTGAGACAATTGTAATGTCCTATGCGTTCGATTACCTGGAATAGTCTTACATATGAGTTAATTCAGTCACACTAGCTGAAGGTGGTCCTACATAGCCACCTTAGCATCTCCATAGAGGCGAGGTTATACAACCATGCTGTAACAACATTCTTTATTAACACTGGTGTTTTCAAAATGTTTAACAGGTAGCTGTGTAAAGGATTTGTCACAGGGGAGGTCATGTTTATAGTGTGTGCTAGGCTTGAAGTCATCCATTCATTTTGTAACTGATTTATCCAGTACAGGGTCATGGGGTTGCTGGAGTCGGAGTCTATCCTGGCAAGCAAGGACACATGTCAGGATTAGGGTAGAAGATTCAAATCATTAGATATAATTACATACTTGTTATGTCTTTTGGAAAAATGTTTATAGAGGATTAGAAGATGTTTGTAGAGGATATTATTAACGTCATTATAGCTGTGTATACAGCCTTTAGCAACTATCCTCTAAGATCAACTGCTCAACTACCAACTGCACAAGATGTGTTGGTCATAGCTGGTCTTGGCTGCCATATTTTCCGGATTCAAATCCCTGTGGTTTCTTGTGAGGTGGGGGGAGGAGTGGAGGTGCTGTAAAGCCAAACCACAAGCAATTGGCGATTGATTGCTTTCTTCAGGAGCCATTTACAGTACTTCTCTGTTTGTTTTTATTTCACGATTTAATCCGGGTCAGATAAACCTTGATTTTCTTATTGGGCGTACTGCCGAGCTCGGGAAATAAAATATTCTCAATCATGGAAAGTACAACAACATGGAGTGTAATTCTGGATAAGCATTTTGCTAAATGCTAACAAGAGCAGGCAGAGTATGGAATGATGCAGGATGATTTAAATCTTACCTTATACCACAGGCATTGCACAGAGGAGTACCGTCTTCTGCATCCCTCCACAAGGGTGTTTTCCTCGTGTCGCAGGACGCACAAATTTTATTCTCTGCAAGAAGCATCGTGGGATTTAAGTGTGCCGACACCAACTGAAAAGCGCCATGCAGGTCAAAGAACCGTCAAACAGCACTTAAAATGTTACAGATCGAATTAAAAAAAATGTAGACATCTGATCTTTTTTTGGGTGGAGGGGGTTGTTTTTTCATATTAATACATGCTATTATTTAGGAAAAACTGTACAACTTTGCAACAGATCTGAAAACAGAAAAAAATGTAAAGATTAGTCAAAATCCCAAAAAGGTTTAGATTTCCAATTCAGACGTCAGGATTCCCCAGAGGCTTGAGAGTAGTGTTCTCTGGAAGGACCTAAATTATATGCTGTGGAGTTTTATATTGCATTCTAAGCCTTTGCACGGCAACTGGTGCTTTTTTTTCTAGCTATGTCCTTAATAAAACCATCATCAGAGACCGTTTGTCTGGCAACAATATCAGCAAAACGCTTTTGTGTGCTGGTGCTGCAGTTTCTCAGATTTCAGTTCAAGTTTAGATCACAGTAATAAAAGAAAATCTAGCCCTTATGTTGCTGATAGGGTGTGTTTTCCTGCTATAGGCAAACAAGAAAAAAAAGATCATTTTCCTCCAGGAATTTGTTTTGTAATTTTCCAACCATATACTAACCACCTCCAACACACGCTTTCAGCACTCTCATATAACTTCAGTAATTCTGTTGAGACATGTCATCAAAGAGCAGCTTTTTCTTCACAGACTGATAATCAGTGGCAGAGAAGACTCTTTTGAAGAATCATGCTATGATCATGACCTCCCATGGAAGACAAGTTTCCCCAGTTTAATAAAGCAGGAGAAACAGAGAGAAGTTTCTGATACCACATTTATGCTGTGGCTTCTCCAATCACGTGATACAGAGCCCACATGCTATAATCAACTTGTTCCCACTAAAGGAGCCATAGAACACCGACCAGGACACCTTTACTGATGCCATGACAGAAAACGGCTTGAAATCCCATGTGGCAAAACTGCTCTTGCAAAGCACAATCTCACACACACAAAAAAAGTGGCTGGAATATTTTCTATGTGGTGTACAGTTTCAGAACAAGCAGATGATTCATTTCCCCATTACTATCCTTGTTATTTACTAATGTCAGGCCCCTAAACAGAATTAGCTACAAATTAAATAATTTTAATTTTAGCTACATAAATGTAGTCATTGGTTTATTTAGTACAACTTTTTCCATGTAGAACACACTGCAGTATTACATACACACATACAGGTTACAGCACTCCACAGTAAGTGTGCAGCTCAATGGTTAAGTAGAACAGCTGATCAGGATTTATGCAAAGATGATGGAAACTTACTTAAGGAAGAGGCTGAATCGCTTTCCTCTTCAGAGCTGCTTATCCTCCTCGTGTCGGTGAGAGGACGGGTTTTCCTGGACCTGAGTTTCCGGCTTATCTTCCAGAACTCTGTGCTGCAAACCAGGAGACACAATCTACAGTAGCTATGTGATTTTACCATCAATCACTGCACAATGAGGTTTCTGCAAACCATCAGCTTACTGGCAAAAGAATCACGTATAAAAGTAAACATGATTGCCATTGCTTAACATTGCCTATTGCTACTGAGACGCATGGACAAACGAATAAACCTGGAACTGGATTTCTGGAATGTAATCTGAACAATGAACTGTGTGTCGCTATGAACGAAGCAACGTTAACCATTTCTCCACACACATATGAAGAATCCAATCCCTGTGCACTGGGAGCTTTACGTATTTCACTCCTGCTGTGACAAAGAGCGACCCCTTGGATTTTGGGGCACAGTACCTGTAATGCGGGGTGATCACCAGCTGGCACTGATCTGCCCTCCTGTCGTTTAGCTGCATCTCCATGTGCATGGTCACCCCTCTGAAGTTTGGGTCATAGCGTGCGGCGCTTCTCGTGGGGTTCTGCTGTTTTCTCGGTGCCCGGCCGCAGCTCCTGGGGTCCGGGGGGGGGCTGCTTTCTTTCTCAGAGAGCTGCTCCCCGGTGCCGCATGCAGGGGTTTGTGAGATGCTGTGCAGGGCAGATTCGGCCCAGTCTGCAGCGAGCCTGGGACTTTTTGCTTGCCTGACGGACACGTATATAGTATTGCACAAAGTGCCAGAACTGACTTTGGATTTGCCAGAGACTTGCAAAGCCTCTGTCACACCAGACTTACTTGTTAGATTGTCATTCGAGTTCATTGTCACCCCTGACTCTGCAGCCGTGTCCCCATAGCCATTGTCCAAAGATGCAGGCAAAGAAACCATATTGTCGGATGGCGGTGTTTCACGTTTTATGGGCATTAAATCACTCTCCGGCAGCTCAGTGTTATTTTGCTGGTTAACCACTAATGAAATGATGCCCATGCTTCTTTGGGAAGTTGTCAGCACAGGTAGCCTTTCCTGCTCGTCAGAAGGACTTACCATGTTCTCAGCCCCGTTTGGATCTATTGGATCCAGCATTTGTCTTTTCTTCCACAGAGCGCCCTCTTTAATAGTTGAAGACGCACGCTCTTCATAGCAGGAACTATCCCGGGGCTTCCTCCCAGCCTCTTTTTCTCCAAGCAAACTTGCTCTGGCATTGCAGCATGGGGATATGTAGCCCACTGCTGCCGGGACTTTATTCTGATGAGGACTCCTCAGCTGCCAGGCTCTACCCCTGCACTCTGCAGAAGGCAGGGCCTTTGAGCTCCCTGCTTTTGCAGTGCGCGCGCCCTCATCCTCTCCTCCACGACGGAGAGCCTCTGCTTTGGTCTCACCTTTAACTTCAGTTCTTTGGCGCGGGCTCCCTTCCATGGTCTTGGCCTCTTTGAATTTTGAACCCCCCTCCTCCTGCCCTGCAAATGTATCCACGAGGCACCCCGTCCCTTCTGGCTTTGAGGCTGTCCCAAAAGTGTCGTCTGCATTTTCAGGGTGCAGCAGTTTCTTGCACTGGATGCTGATCAGGTTAATCAAATCCAAAGCACTGCTTTCCGGCAGGTTGGACATGAATCTAAAAGAACCTGAATACTTATTTAGCTCCATGTTGGTATCCTTTCTCCCTGCGCCTGTAGGTTTGCTTAGTACAAGAGGTGAACTACGCAGAGAGTCTTTTCCCAGGTCGCTCTGGTTGAGGGAATGCAATGAATTCCCATCTACAGACGAGCCCTCCTGCAAGTCTTGCCTAGCAGGGAGGATCAGTTTTGTGGTTTCATGCAGAAGGTACAGAATGGTGGTCTGAGGCACCTGGTCCTGGCTCTTCTTTTCTTCAGTGGGGGAGTAGTTCAGTGCAGAGGGAGAGTGGGCATTTGAGCTTATGATGACGCTGCACACAAGAAACAAAGGGCAGTATTAGCTTCAGTATTCTAGCAGAGTACTGTGTAGTACTGTGGCACACATAATTTGAACCACTGGTGCTAGAGTTTAATCCCCATCATATAAACCAACTTTCTATGAATTCTATGCAATTTCCATTCTCAGTTATCTCTTCTGCATTGGTGATTGATGTCTGCTGACACAATTCTGTCTTCCCCAGTCTTTGTAGGTCCGCTATGTGAATAGATTCTGTTTTTTACCAGATACAAGTTTTTTAAATTGCCTTATTGCTACACCAATCTTAAACTACCTTTCTGCTACACCAGCCCTTTCCAAATGCATAAGCATCATACAGTGTAAAAATATTACTATCAATTACCAATATTCAAAAACAGGCAACATAATTAGAAAACAACACTTCATATAGTTACCACTTTTTAAATGAAGAGGTAAATATATACAGTATATCCCTAAAAAACTTAGAAATAACATAGAAATTCCGTATTACAACTGAGGCATTTCCAGATCTAATAAACCAGCTTTGGGGAATAATATTTTTATAAAGCATCCTCTCAGGACGCTTTTATTCTGTTATTTTAGACTCAGACCCGTCGTCTTAGCAGCAAGACTGTTGCACCATTCGTAAACACCGCAGAAAGAAATAAAAAACAAAAGCTTTATTTGGTTTATAAGCTCTATTTGGTTTATAAATTTGTCAACAATTTAACGTTTTAACTAAGGAAAACGGAAGGTAACGATATTCAGCTTGGATAAACGACATTTTACGAAGGCATACTGACATAACAAAACGCAGCAAGGAATAATGGCAAAGCCGCCTCGTCTCCCTTCTAAACGCACGACACTAACAGGGACGGTATTTCAGAGGCATATCAGTTATATTTGTAAAAAATGCCTGTCAGATTTAATTTAAAAAGACTAGCACAGTAACTCTTAATAAAATACCATTCCATTTGTGAAATGGAGTACCTACCTGTCTGTGGACTTTGGCGCAGAATGTTCTACAGGGAGCGACACCGAACTGTTAAACACGTGATCGAGCTCTGCTCTCCAGCCTTGGCACGCGGGCTTCCTGATGTGTGTCACAATGGGGGACTGTGCCACTGGACCTCTGTTCGCCCGAACCTGGGAAAAGTTATCGCTGTCCTTAGCCCTTCTTGGCTCTAGGCTGGGTTTCTGGGAGTGCAGTTCGGTGTTCGGTTCGATAACTGCGTCCTCAATCCGGTTTCTCGGAGACTTGCGAAGGAGCAGTCGGTTATTATTGCAGTCTTCGAGTGCCGACCCGCCGCCCTCGCACCTCTCAGTGTCCAGATAGGACGGGAAAAGAAGGTCTTTCAGTAGGGAGAAATCGGGAGGCTCGTCCGGGAAAAATGGATCTCCTTCGAGGCTGTCCATGGACACTGCCCCACCAAGCCCTCTCCTATAGAGACAAAAATAAGAATGACTGCAGCCTGTGATAAAATAAATCTGTAAATCAAGTATGAAGGCAACGTTTATAGAAAAGTCACTTTAATAAGTTGCACCAGACGTCGTGAAAGGCGCTACTCAGTAGGATTAGATGGCTCTTTAAATTCTTAAAGGGAGGGTCGCAGTCCACTTCTTCATGTTACCTGCACCAGAAACTGCAGTAATGAACTGAAGTAACTGATTTATAAAACAAAAGGAATCAAGTCAAATACGAATACGAAAACCACTACTTCAGCAGACTCCGATTAGCACTGGTATCGGGCTACGAAAAGTTTCTTCGGGAAAGAGATTTTCCTGAGTAAACTATCTCGGTCTGTGAAGTCAACCCCAAGCAAAAAAAAGTATTATCCAAATACATATGCAACCAAAGAAAGCTCAAAAGCAGAAACGTTTTTTTTTATTTTAAACGTGGAATTAACCTATTTTTTTTATTTGCACATCTCTCAGCTTTTTCACAAGATCTTCCTGGTGTTAACCTCAATTTCCGATCAAGCGTTTAGTAGTGTACACAAGGAACAGTGTATCACCGAATGCCAAACGGGCTACTGAAATGATTTTATTCAACAATTAGGAACAAGGTGGTAATACATTGATAGAATGGGTTTGTGTATCCACGATTAACCTGTGAAAGGCATATTCGAATGGGATCAAAAACAAATCATAAAACGAGCAAGATCTCATTCAAACTCAAACTGAGCGAATTGGAGAACCCGACCGTTACGATCAACTGACACAAAAAGCAATATCGAAATTGGGTGGGTATGTAACACAAAAATAACCAGAAATTCTCTTTTGCGACGTTTTTTTTTAAATCCACGCTAATTTCGAAAAGCATCCGTAGAGTAGATCTACACTGCTGTGCAGGATCGCTCAAAATCTTTTTCTCCCAGCAGAGAACTTAAGTGAGTACTCACCGATCAGTAATCCCGATTTGATCTGCGATCGGGAATTTTATACACAGAAAAAAAACAATAACAGATTGCCTTCTTAGTTTGTGAAGGTATGAAACTCGCGAATGGTTTACAGTTTAATCCAACACAATCAAGGCGTATGAAGGACAGTCAACGCAACCGAAGAAGAAAACGGAGGCAGGTGTTTTCGGTCGCGGTGAAAACTAATTAGCCTATCCAGAGGCGAGCAAGCGCCAGGGTATCGGATCTATAAATGACTCGTTAAAACGGGCTGTCCGGTTCCTGCTTTGTCAGCGCTGGGAAGGTTTGTATGGGGTTACAGGTTCTTCACATTCCAAGTTCTGTTTAGATTAAATGAACCACGATACTCACAGAAAAGCAGTTTCAGGCTTTCAGCGTACTTTAAAGATAGTTGTACTTTTATAAGCTGGACGTCATTAGTAAAATTGTATTGGTGGTGTTGGAGCATTATTCCTTGTTGCAAATGCAGAGGAGTAACCAGGCCAATGTTAATCTTAGGCTATGCCCGTGTGTTATCTTAAATTAGGCTGTATAATTTTAGTTGAAGTACACACTGGTTCTGAAACGGTAAACTGAGCTAGAGCCAATATTTAGATATCCGATAACGATAATTAGAACTGTTGATAATATTGGCGGCCGCCTGATCGCCAATGAGATCGTTTTAACACGCCTCAATATCAGGCAGTCCTCCGACCCTGTCCTGAATTTCTGTTGGGTCTGAAGCCAAAAACGAAGTGGTGTAGGTAAAGCCCCTAAAGGCTGGAGCCTTCTGATTCTAAATTTAGAAACCACGATTTTCTTTAAACCATAATAACCTTGTTTGGTTGCTAGTCACTAAGTGATTACAGGATCTCATCGACCCGTTGCTTAAATAAAGCTGAAGAATAGGCTTCAATAACATGGCTGTGTAGCTTGCTCCATACTCTGACACCCCTTTGTGTAGAGTGCTTCCAATTAGTGGTTTAACATGTAGTTCTGTGAAGTTTAGACTTGTCTTGTGGTTGGTTGTTTGGTGGGCAGTGGCTCAAAAGGGGAGAAGGGGCACTTTCTGGGGTAGGATTTGTTACATTAGAGTATCCTGGACACAAATCAGCACCCGCTTGTATTTCTGTCGTTTTTAATTTTTACAGAAAGTTATGATGTGACTTCAGAGGTATAATATTCACAACCTTGGGGGGAAAAATGGTTGTCCATAATTGCTGATTGTTTGATTAACAGACAAGATATTACACCTCCTCTACTGAGCATATACTTTATTTTCCTGGTATAACACATCTTAACAAGAAGACAGAGCAAATTCAAGAATTACCATCTAATTGCATGCAATACCAAATGCTCAATATACACTACTAAAAGTTTAAACATTATTTTATATATCAACATCAATATTTATAGTAACATATTAAGCTATAAATTGAATTCCACTAGAATTATTTATTGGCTGTGTCCTAAAAAAACTTGGCAGAGATATCCGAAACGGATAATGGAATCACTACTCGTAGAGCCTGTATATTTTTTGTAAATAGGCTACAGGCAGTTTTGATATTCATCAAAATGTAAGTCGTACATTTACCGATGTAATCATTCCTGTGAGGCAAGACTCTTCTGTTATTGGGCATACGTAGAATGTAGCCAAAAGGAACTGGCTTTTTTATGACCATTTACCTGTTCGTCTGCTGCTTGTTATTATCCAGTTATGAAGCGATGTCCTCCCTTTAGCTGCCTCTCAGTTCTTTCTCTCTTTTTCTTTTTTCTGAAGGCATACTCTCCTGTTTCTGTGACTGACCTACAGTGTATATATATACAGTACACACAACAAAAAATATGCATGTTAGCTGCTAATATCAAATGCAAAAAGACTGGTTCGTCTACTCCGTTAACTACATTTTCTTAAGGAAATCTCAAATCTAGTTAGTTACGTAGCCATGCAGACAATAACGTGGTGAGTTCGTAGGTTTGCAAACTTAGAAAAGGTGAATGAAAATAGCCTTTCTTAAACACAAAAGTGCTCAATATGACACACTTGGTGTGTACTTTTGTACAGTCCTTATGAACAATCCGTATTGGAGGAGGTGAGCACTTGTGCTCAGTTGAGATCAATTAGGTCCAACATTTTTTTTTTCCCCTTACGGCAGATCCGTAAGCAGAAGCACAATAATCAAGAGGTGGGGAAAAAAAAGGGCACTTGGGCCAATAAGGACAAAGGGGCAGGGGCTTGAGCCACTGTAGCCTCCCCACTCTGCAAGTCCCTGCTGAAAAGACTAAGCAGCCTCGCCAAAACAAAGAGAATGTATGGTGAGATTAATCTTTAACAAGTTTTCTATTATATGAAAATGTGTGTTGAATGGAGTCCTGAATAAGTATGAGTTCAGGCTTATAATAAATAATAATAATTGCTTACACTTATATAGTGCTTTTCTGGACACTCCACTCAAAGTGCTTTACAGGTAATGGGGACTACCACCACTGTGCAGCCCCACCTGGATGATGCGACGGCAGCCATAGTGCACCAGAACGCTCACCACACATCAGCTATCAGTGGGGAGGAGAGCGGAGTAATGAAGCCAATTCAGAGATGGGGATTATTAGGAGGTCATGATTGGTAAAGGCCAATGAGAAATTTGGCCAGGACGCCAGGGTTACACCCCTACTCTTTTTGAGAAATGCCCTGGGATTTTTAATGACCACAGGACAAGTCAGGACCTTGGTTTTACATCTCATCCGAAGGACGGTGCCTGTTTACAGTATAGTGAGGGGGGCATTAGGACCCACATGGACTGCAGGGTGAGTACCCTCTACTAGCCCTACTAACACTTCTTCCAGTAGCAACCTTGGTTTTTCCCAGGAGGTCTCCCATCCAGGTATTGACCAGGCTCACACCTGCTTAGCTTCAGTGGGTTGCCAGTTGTGAGCTGCAGAGTGATATGGCTGCTGGCTTAAATGATGTAAGAGTCAGAAACACCTAATGAAGTATGGCCTTATTTGTTAATATGCCTGTGCATACAATGCCTATTGCAATAGTTTGAAAAGATTAATCGGTTTCTTTCTACCTTTTGTTTGTAGGGCAATTTAGACAACATCCCCTTTAGGGGCAATACCCTGTGCAGTAAATAGGCATATATGTCAGAAAAAAAAGCTTAGAAAACATTGAAATAACTGCTTTTCTAAATATATTTTCTCTCCTAAATCACAGCAATGCCATCAGAAATTGTCTGTTTTGTGGGAATCCTAACCCTAACCCTAGCTAAGGGTTTGCCTTAGGTTAGGGTTTAGACATTCCTCAAAGAGTTTCCACAATTTTTTAATTCATTTGATTGGAAAATGTACTTCACTGCATCAAAATATTAGTCTGAAAAGGCAAAGCAGCATCGCCAAAATGAAGAGAATGAATCAAGTATGGTAAAATTAAGTATTTAAAAGTATTTGACAAATTAGTATTTGTCATGAATGTCTGAAAGGCATGCCATAGAATGGCCAGGAGAGCAGTAAAGACACTATATATAGCTCCAAAATGGGGGTTAGCCCAGGCTCAGGAGATCAGACGATGTTGGGAAGAAATCTATGCCCTCCGGCCACGGAGGAGACGGCCTGGTGCTAGGCGGGTCTCAAGACATCCAAACCCTCACTGCTGAGCTGGGGGGAAAGGGTGACCCGGAATTATATAGCCCCATACAAAGACACACCGGTAGGACAACTGAAGCACAGGGAAACTAAGAACAGGACAGAGCAGGAGATCCCTCTAGCTGTAGAGGGCGTGACAGTATTATGTTAATGGGAATTTTGTGTTGAATGGAATCCTGAATAAGTATGGGTTCAGACTTAAATGGTGTAAGAGTCAGAAACACTTAATGAAGTATGGCCTTATTTGTTTATATGCCTGTGCATAAAATGCCTATTGCAATAGATTGAAAAGATTAATCAGTTTCTTTCCAACTTTTCCTTTTAGGGCAATTTAGACAACATCCCCTTTAGGGGATACAGTATATAGGCATATATGTCAGAAATAATGTTTAGAAAACATTGAAATAACTGCTTTCCTAAATCTAATTTCTGCCCTAAAACACACCCATACTATCAAAAAGTGTCTATGTTTTAAGGGATTCAAACCCTAACCCTAGCTAAGGGTTTGTTCTTTCACAATATTCCACTCATTTGACTGGAAAACCTGCTTCTCTGAATCAAAAGATGAGTCTGAAAAGACAAAACAACCTTACCAAAACCAAGAGAATGTATCAAGAAGGGCCAAATTAATATTTGTCAGGTATTCTTTCATTGGAACCTTTGTGTTGAATAGAGTGCTCAATCAGTATGGGTTCAGGCTTAAGTGGCCTAAGAGTCAGAAACAACAAAATATATTTGGATTTATTTGTTAATATACCTGTGCATTCAATGCCCATTTTTAGAGTTTGAAAAGTTAAGTCGGTTTCTTTCAAACTTTTGCTTGTAGGGCAATATAGACACCATTCCCTTTTAGGGCAAAGCACTATATACAGCCATAAACAGTACATCAGAAAAAAATGTTTAGAAAACATTGAAATAACCTTTTTCCTAAGTATCATTTCTGCCCTAAAACACAGCCATACTAACAAAAAGTGTCTACGTTATGGGAATAAAACCCCTAACCCTAGCTAAGGGTTTAGATTGGTTAGGGTTAGGATTCAGGGATTTACCAAAGACTTGTCAAAATATTCCACTCATTTGATGGGAAAACCTGCTTCTCTGAATCAAAAGATTAGTCTGAATGACACAACAACCTTGCCAAAACCAAGAGAATGTATCAAGAAGGGCCAAATTAATATTGGTCAGGTATTCTTTCATTGGAACCTTTGTGTTGAATAGTATGCTCAATGAGTATGTGTTCAGGATTAAGGGACCTAAGAGTTATATACAGCTAATACAGATTGGCTTTAGTTGTTAATATACCTGTGCATTCAATGCCCATTCCTAGAGTTTGAAAAGTTAAGTCAGTTTCTTATAACTTTTGCTTGTAGGGTAATATAGACACCATTCCCTTTTGGGGCAAAGCACTGTATACAGCCATATAGGTCTGAAAAAAATGTTAAGAAAACATTGAAACAACTGTATTC